AGTACCTCCTTACCTTAGACCTTTGAAGCAACGGTGTGGGTAATACCTGGAAGGAGCAGCTGAGAGCAAATGTTCAGCTTGTCCCTTCCCGGCCAATACACCAAAACTGTCAGGGGAAAAACCACGTTAAAAAGGGAGGTAGACACACCATAAAACAAGTCACTTCAAAGTTCTAAAAGCTTTATTAAATGTTAGTTCAATAAGCAAGTAAAATTCAACCAATAGCATACAAGGTACTTAGATACACATTGCAATGCTGACCATTCACTTAGATTCACACCACAATGCCGACCACCCACTTAAATTCACATTGCAATGCCGACCAACTTGACCGAGCTGTCAGGTAGACAGCTTGACCAAGTGGGTACCGACCCCCTTGTTGCAATCCTTTTTATCCTCAAAAACCACAAACCACAGACAAGACTCCTAGGGTTAGCAACTGATTCGTAACTTCCTTGGTGCTAATTTTACCATACTTTCCTGTTCTATTCGTCCCTGTCACGTCCTTTCCCATCAGCAAGTTTGCTTAGTCTTGCAAGTTTACTTATTTCCTGTCATTGCCCTAAAGGTCATCTCTTAGCTAATGTGGCTTTATTAAATGCTATCAAAACTAACATTAAAACATATAAAAGGCTACTAAAATTTTCCTCTCACAAAGAGAACTATGACGGCTACCTCTCCTCCTGGCACAGGGTCCTGCAAAGCAGGGTCTGTGGATAGTAGAGTAAGCATTGCAAGAGTAGGCAGTTAAAACAAAGCAGAGCTCCTTGCCAGTTAGCACACAGTCATTAATCTACCCCCAGCAAGATTTCCTTAATAAATGATGAAATGGTGAAAAAGCAGAAAAATTAAAGACTATCATCAACGTGGAGTGAAAAATAAAAAGGGGGAAATGGTGGGGTGCTGTCAAAATAACTAATATTTTCATATTTCATATTCATGTTTTTTTTCCAGCCAAGTTTCGCATTGTGAGGCTTGATGATGAATTTAAGGCCATTGATAAAAGCGTGAGTAGTGCTTTCTGTCATATGTGACTACTGCTCATGGACACCTATGCTAAAAACCTAAGTATCAGGAAGGTTGCCCTTCTGGGCCCATTAATGCTTTTTAAAAACATGTAATTGATGACAGTGCTGGATCCTAAGGGTGCTTTTAGCTGTGTGTATTTCTGTGAACTTATGCAGAGGCCCTGAAAGTTGTTAAGATTTTTGTTTAAGCTATCAAACCCACCAATCACACTACCTTTATTGTAGCAGTTCTTTGGTTGCCTTTACAGAACATTGGGGAAATGGAACATTTTTCTGTTCCTTTTAAACTTATTTTTTCACTCTCTCCTTCCTTACAGATCCCCCTGATATGGCTGAAGGTAAGATTAGCTCTCTTTTATTAAAATTCTTACAGTAACCTCAGAAGACCACTTAAACTATCTATGATACAGTTTTAATATGGCACAGAAGTTGAAAGTTGTCACATTATAAATGACAGCTGAGCAATTCCCAAGAGCAATGTTTAGGAACGTGCTGGGAATTTTTGGTTAAAGCCAAAGGCCACGATAGAGAACTGCAATTCTAATGCTCCCTAACTGCTATTATCAATTAATGAAATCTTTATTGCAGCCTTTGACCAACCTGAAAAAGTATAAGCAGAGAAATAAGAAACAGTAACACTAAAATCTAAATGAAGAGCTATGAATTAAAATGTATTATTGTTATTTAATGACTCTGGGCAGCTTACAAGTTAAAACATTAAAAACAAGGAAAAAATACAATAAAAGACAAATATAAAAGAATAAAAGATGGCAAGAATGACAAGAATGACAAGAACCAGACAGAATAAAAAAGAAACAAACCCACGCAATCCAAGGGGGCTTCTATGAGACTAATTACATATTGGTTTTATGAAATTAATTATATATATAATAAAACATTAAAAACAAGGAAAAAATACAATAAAAGACAAATATAAAAGAATAAAAGATGGCAAGAATGACAAGAATGACAAGAACCAGACAGAATAAAAAAGAAACAAACCCACGCAATCCAAGGGGGCTTCTATGAGACTAATTACATATTGGTTTTATGAAATTAATTATATATATAATATAGATATAGCCTTTATTTTAGTAAATCAGTTCTTAAATTGTTTAGAGCAGGGTTTCTCAACCTCAGCAACTTTAAGATGTCAACCCAGCATGCTGACTGGGGAATTCTGGGAGTTGAAGTCCACACATCTTAAAGCTGATAAGGTTGAGAAACTCTGGTTTAGAATAAGAAAGTGAACAGAAGAAGAGAAAAATGTAATATTGTTATACTGTTTATCTTTCCTTAACTTTTCTGTGCCTTAACTAAATGGGCCCATGTTTTAAATGCCAGAAAAGCAAATTTAGCAGTCATTATGTTCTTTGGGATCTTCATCTAACAGGAGCTATCGAACTTGGATTGGGCAATAGCTTAAGTAAAAGTTTGAATAAAGGGCTTCTAAAAACTCTACAGAAATTGCAATATAACAAGGTGTTAATTCAGTGGCTGCTGAGCCACCCGGGCACAGTCTTTCTGTGTAGGGTGCCTTCCTATATCTTCTTTTGAGAACTGCTGATAGAGGAACATTGAATCAGAGCCATGAAAAAGCCCTTCAATATTTCACAAACATTAGCTGGTCTAAATATTTTGCTGGCTTGAAGAAGTTTGCTTTCCTAATACTGTCTTCAGGGGTAATTTACTGTACTCTCTTTGTGCTTCTAGATTGAGGATCCTTTTTTCAGCATTAACATGGCCTTTTCTTGTCCCAGTGCCAATAAGGCCAGTTTCTTTGTAGGACTCAAGTAAATCTTGGTGTCCATCTCAAGAAATTAGAGTGGGTCCAGTCTGCTTTTCTAAGGAAATTATTTTGGGTGCCCTACTGAATGTCTAATGTAACACTCCAGAAGGAAGCTAGATTAATCAAAATTGTGATTACAGCATGGTAAAATGTCTTCAGATACCAAATTTAACATTTTGAATGCTGAGATTGGCTCCACTTATATTCAAGGATAGTTTTTACTGCCCTTGGAAGCAGAAAATTGAAGATAAAATACACTACCAATATACTAATTGGTATTATTATCCTTAAACAGACTTGAAATGGATTTAATATATAGCGTGGACTTCTCAATGAACACTGGGCATAAAATAATATCACTCATCTTTTACATTTGAAACTGTGTAAAACTCTCAGGACACAGGATGTCCAGAGTGCTGGCACTGAGAAGAGGGGCCTGAGGCCCAGCCATGGTGATGATTATCACCCCTTAAAGATCCAGAGCACCAGCAGCAGTGGAGAGGTGACTGCCCGAATCTCCAGGCAGTGCAAGTGATATTGAGGCCTGAGTTGACTGGGAAGGGTCACAGGAAAATTGGGCTATTATAAGAAACCATAGGTTTAGTGAAACCATAGTATGAGATTATAGGCTATAAGTATAAGAGAGTGAATAGGGTAAGACCATAAGAATTAAAACTTAATTGAAGAGGTTAAGAATAAATACTAGTGAAGTTTAAAAGTTTCTGAAATGAACAAGGCTAAAATCTCACCTTTGAGTGTAAAATCTTTGTTTGATAATGCTTTTGTAAAATCTTCAGTAGCAAAAAGTCCATGTCTACAAGAATTCTATCCCCTCTGTGCCTGAGCCAGTCACCATCCCTGAACTGACCCAGAAAAAGAGTCCCTTAGGAGTTTCCTGTTGCTAAAGTCCTCCATGTATTTGTAGTTAATACAAGCTTGCTATTTGACACAGCTCATTCTGTGATTCTGAGCACTGTTGCTGATGTCTACAGCCACCAAAATATAACAAATAGTTTTGATCTTCTGTGCAGGATCCTGATAAGAACCGAATTGCCCAGTGGGTGGATGTGAAGCCTCTTCATGGCATTGTGGATCTGTCTTTCCCTCTGGCCTCTGAAGCAGCCTTGGGCACATACACCATTGAAGTGGAAGACAAAGAACTGAGTTCTAAAGCTGATGGAGAATTCACAGTGGGGGAATACGGTGATGTTTCAAAGCGAGACCATATTAGCTGTTAGGGTTGGGGAGGCCTTTAAAACAGTATACAGTATATTACATTCCTATTCACTCATACACACACACTCTTTTCCGCCTCTCTAAATGATTGTGTGAGCATTTCAATAAACGCAAAGCCTACTTTTGCTTCCTAGGAAGTCTTCCTAGTCTTCCTAGTCTTGCTCTAAAAAAATCCACCCCCTTCTCCGCTATCAGAAAGACAAGGTGATACTTAAATGATAATTCTATAAATACATACCTGAGCCTATGTTGCATTGAACTCAGCAAGGCTTATTTCTGACTTGACATACAGAGAACTGTATAATATTCTCTTAATAAATAAGATCAGATCACCTAGTAAGTATGTATGTATATGTATGCACAGTTTGGCCTAATGGAATGGTGCTGGACTGGGAATTGGGAGACATGAATTCTAGTCCTCTTATAGGCATGAAAGCCAGCTGGGTGACTTTGGGCCAGTCATTCTCTACTAGCTGTAGACTGGGAAGTTGAAAAACATCCCAGAAGAAGGTAATGAAAAATACTTCTGAAAATGTTTTGAAGAAAACTTCATGGACTTTTCCATGTAATCACCAGTAGTCAAAATTGACTCAAAGGACTATAGCAACATCTTTCTCTCTCTAAATAATAAATACATATAAAGCATATTATGGTGGGTCTACAATGTCCAGTTTGTTTGTTTATTTTTCAAATTAGTGTTTCCCATATTGCATATTTTTCCTCAAAATGGTCATGATGTCTTCATCTAGTGTTTGTTGTTGTGATGGACTTTTGAGTCAGTCCTGAGTCCTGGTCACTACAAGGACAGGTACCTGCAGTTTTCTTGGCAACATTTTGGAAGTGGTTTTGCCAGTATCTTCTTCCTAGAGCTGAGAGAGGGTGACTGGCTTTTGTGCCTCAGTGGGGATGAGAATTCACAGTCTCCTGTTTCCTATTCTAGTGCAAAATGCAAAATTGAAAAATGGAGGTGCCACAACTAAGAAATTGTTCTCATTTTTCACATACATGTCATTATTAACCCAGATTTTCCCTTGGTACCCTTTCAATTTCAATGTAAGAAAGAAAAAAGAGATTAAAAGCAAAGTGAAGGAAAGTAGGCAAATTCCTTTGACAAATAAATATTTTTAGGAATTATTCGTACTGAATTATATAGAATGATTTAACTTCTAAGGTTATAGAAAAATAGTTTTGTGTGTGTGTGTGTGTGTGTGTATATACCCACAGTCTCCCTAAATAGACATTTTTGGCTTATTCTTTAACAGAGTCTTATCCAATCTATCACCCTCCATTTACATTCCAGTGGGAATTCTGGAAGTATATGTGGTGCACACCAGCATTGAAATGACTGGTTTAGAATAACAGTACATTTTTTACAGTGGTCACAATTTCTGCACTAGTGAATTATAGCATCACTAAGCCATCACTGTGACAATGTAAACTGGTTTCTGATAACTGCATTAAATTAACCTGGGCTAATATTTGATTTTTATTGAATAAAACACATTATTTGCATTTTAGGCAATTAATGCCATGTGTAATTTGCCTCTTTATTGTCATTCTTACAAGGCAAGGCCAACCAATTTCTGAGGTACATTTCTCTCAAATTTGTAGCATGTGATCCTGCCCCCAAGGGAGAAACCGCTCTGGAGAACAGATGGAACCATTAGAATTAAAAGCAAAGAAGTTCCAAGGGCAAACCTTCCCTGACCCACAAATACACAAAGATCTTGGAGACAATGTATTTAAAATATGTTAACCTAAGAAGACCCCAGAAGACCTCTTTAGTTCTCTCTTCTGGTTCCATAGTCATCAAGCAGCTGCCTATAGGAAACCCTCTGTTGTTGGAGATAAAATAGATTTTGAATGTGTTTAATCCATGTTTAAAGGTACCCAAGCTGACATTCATATAACGGTGAATTCTGTAGATTAACTCTGTGCTAGGTGTAGAAATATTTCTGTTGATCTATCTTGAATATTCTCCCACCTAACTTGGAAGAATTGGGTTCTAGGACTTTTAGCAGCAGAGATGATTTCATGTCTGTTTTTGTCATGTTCTCATCTTTTCCTAGGCTTAAAAAGCCCAAACTTTCATGATGGGATTTGCTCTAACCCCAAACCAATTTTTTTGTGGCTTACTAAATTGTTTAGTAATATTGTGGTTGTGCATGATGGATTCATCCTTATGTGAACTAATTTTTCCATTTCCTTTCTTCTTTGGCCTATTGGATGATTACAGAGCTGCCTAGATTTGAAATTTTCTTCAAGTATCCATCATTGGTCACCATTTTAGACGAAGAATTTCAGCTCAATGTCTGTGGCAAGTAAGTAAATCTTGAGTGTAAACTAAGCTTCCTGTTCCCCTGGTTTTCATTTTAAAAAAATTTAATTTTTTGAAATGGGAAAACAGTGGCACACTTTAACATTATCTTTATGGACAAGAATGCCTCTGGGTTACACAAAGATTTTTGAAATGTAAGCTGAGATAGGTAAGGTAAAATAGGGTGGGAAGTAACTTCATCAACTTTCCTTCTAGCAATTGGAGTTGTGCTATTTGACTGCTAAACAGCAACCATCATTTTGTTTCTCCGTACTCCACATCCATGGTTCAAAATATTTGCCTTTCTGTGAAAAAAATGTTTTTCCATAGATTTGTCATGTTTAATCTTTTTAAACCAAGAGCCCTGCGACAGGGGTCTCCATTTTATTGCATTGCTGCTGTTCTCTCTCTCTCTCTCTCTGCCCTTTACAGTGTATGTTTATAATGTCCATGAAAAAGGGCAATGTATACTCTTCACTGTTTCTGTCTTCTACCTACAGTCTTCCTACATCTTTAGAAAGTAGAAATTGAAACAATGTATTTTTATTGAAATTTACACCAATTTGATAATAATGTTATATGTCTATTCCTTGCCCCTTAACTGAAGGAGTACCATGTAGCTTGTACCAGTCTAAAGTGGGAAAATACTCTTACTCTCATAAATTACTAAACTACCAAACCTTCTTTTTCTTGTTTTTTCAAGACTCCAGACTTTTTTCTTCATGCCAAATGCTTGTGGCACTGCATTTACAGAGATGGCCCATCACATTTGCAGATAGGCATTTTCTCCCAAGGCTTTCAAACTTTTAAAATTCAAAACATAATTTTGTGCTTTGCTCTGTCCATTGAGGACTGATTCACAACGGGGCAGGGCAGTTTATGAAGCAATTGGAAATGAAGAACAAGTTCTTTGGGGGGGAAAGGAAGAGCTTATCTATTGTTACAAGATTTCTCTGCAGCAGGACAGAACTGGGTCGTTGTTGCATTTTCCAAAAAGATTTCCCAGCTGAACCTGCAACCATGTGTTTTTCTGGAGGTCTTCCATTATATTAATAACTGGGCTTGACCATACTTAGACCTGCCAGGTCAGCTCAGTTGATTTGAAGGAATCTTTACATTTTAACTCCTAATATATTCAGGATTCCCTCTGGTGCAGCACAAACCATTCCTTTACACTCAAGCATATTTCTTCCATACTTCCATATTTCTTCTGTTTGTTTCTCACAGGTACCCATATGGAAAACCTGTTCGAGGAAATGTGTATATCAACTTGACAAGGAAGGCATCAGAAGCCTTTGGAATCGTTACACAAATAGATTTGCCTAAGATTGTAAAAAGTTACAGTGAGCGGGTAAGGTTGCCTTTGTGCAAAGGAATGTTTGGATGAATTGCTTACTCCTTTTCTTTGGTTTACAGACTGAAGGTCTGACGTTACCCTTATCATCCCCCTTTATTCCCAAAGGCAAAGACAGTGGATGGAAAGGACAGTGAATGCTAAAGTTAGGTCAACAGGGAGGATTTCTCAGTTAAACCCTAACCCTTTGGGATTAGCAGACATTGAGTAAGAAATAAGAGGAAGGCTTGCTAATATTAAGACAAGGTGAAAATCTATTGTGTTTCAGAAAGAGTCTTAATCAGGGGCCATTTTTTCTTCAAAGGGTGTGTGTATTGTTATATTTATATCCTGCCTCTCCACCAGAAGCTCATACACATATACAGACATGAATATGCAAACATATGCATGAGACTGATATTATATAAAAAGGTAACTAATAGAATAACTTGAAAAACCTGTGAATCCTTGCCCATTTACTCTACTTTTGAGATAAGAAATGTTATGCAAAATACTGAAAAAGAGTGAGAAGTAATGAACAAAAGAAATTAAAAGCCAGTCATAAGAGAAAATGAAATCTAACTAAATCTAATCTTTTTTACCAATTTTCAAAGCAACTTTTTATTTCCATCAAAATTGCTCTGCATTTTATCTGCCTCTTTTAATCTCAATTGTGCTTTGATTACATTCTTTGCATCTGTTTTACACAATATATTTTTCTTAGCTTTGTTTTATTTTGTAGTAAATCATTTTCTTACATGTTTTTCCTTACCCACAGCCTCTTTCACTTCAACGTTACTTTTTCATATTTCTTATTAGCATAATTCTACACATTTCTGTCTGTCCCTTGTCCCATTCATACCTCTCACCTTGTATCCTTCTCTAATTTTCTCAGTCTTTCATTATGAATAATCAAATTGCTTTTCAATGTATTCCTTTTCTATATGAATGCATGAATAGACTTATGCTTAAACCATCTATTTGAAGCAGACTTATTTGTAAGAAGATTAAAAACTACAGATAGTCCTCGTTTAGTGACCACAATGGGACCAGCAACTTGGTTGTTAAGTGAAGCAGTCAGTAAGTGAAACTGTGACTGTGCTTGTGATCTTACTTCAGCTTTCCTTTCCTTTACAGACCTGCGAAGGTCATAAATGTAAGGATTGGTTGTAAAGTTACTTTTTCATCACTGTTGTAACTGTGAATGGTCACTAAATGAGGCAGTCGCTAAACAACAACTACCTGCAAATGCCACTTTCATTCATTCTTGGGTCTTCAAATGGCCCAGTAATTTTTTGTTTTCTCTTGTTTCATTCCTACCATCCAGTCATGCCTCCTAAAATGGAAATTTTCCCCGGATCATATTCATTCAGAATATTGCTCAACTTGTCCCAAAACTAATCTCTGATTTTTCCATTTTTGCAACTTACCACCTGAACCATTCCTTTTTCAGTGGAGCATAACATGCCACAATTACCAACCTATTTTCATATGCACCCATAAAACCTGCATGACACCAGTTCATACTTTCTGACATATATTTTAGCCCTTTCATCCATAATTAAATCTGCATGTTCACTTCCTTGCATGTATTTATCAACTCCACTCTATAAAATCAAGATTACCTTCTTTCAGATCGGTGACATCCTTCTCCTTTCTTAGGTTTACAGGCATACAAGATGAATAATTTATTTCATTTAATTTATTAAATCATGCTGTTTACTATTTCTCTAACATTCCAAGTCACAATCTTTCATATCTCATGGAGTTCACCAAATGGACCCATAGATATTGATGTCCACCATCCATCATAGCTTTAATCAGCTAAGGCATTCACATAATGCTTTTTAGTAAGATGGAGAGGGTGTAGACTAGGCTGCCAGCCTTTGTTGTACCTGTACAGCACTGCTTGCTAATAGTCAGTTTTACTATAGTTTGGCCAGTATGCCATCTACACAAGCAGAGCCTAATTTTACATTAAGGATGCTCACACTATTCTGTGCAAGTTAGACTCTGTGATCTAGAGATCACTTTGCAAGCCTACACACTGTTGCCCACTAGCTAGGATCCCCTAGGATTTTGAGAGATGTAAAGAGATAAAGCCCCCAAAGAAGGATCTATACATTTAATAAATATGTTTCTTGTAACATTAGCAGGCTTTCCTCTTTCTTTTGCTTTTTGGTGCTATCCACATTATTTAATTCTAGTAGCTTTAATTAATTAATTCTAGTGCCATGCTCTCCCTGAAATTATCTAAACCCCCTGTAAAGGTTGAAGGTTGGCTAGATTATGTTTTGTGGTAGTAAATTCCAACGTTTAAGTATGCTCTGTAAATGTAACAAAAAGTACTGTACTCTTTTTTTGGTTTGGCTTGGGATATCTTACTATTCAGCTTCATTATGAGCAGTTTTATATGCCTTGATAATGTCCTTTTCCCCTTAAGTTAAAGAGTTTTAAGACTGGAAATCTGGGTTGTCTGAGACTTGCTCCAGTCTCTTGATCATACTAACTGCATTTTTCTTTTCTAGCTATGCAGTAAGGAGTGCTGAACAGCATGTAATGCAGGACTGCAAGCTTGGTCACACAAAAGATTTAGAGAGAAGCACCATAATGTCCAGTTTCATTTTGTATTGCTTTCCTAATGGTTCCTAACACAGAAGTACCCTTTTGCACAGCTATAAGAGCTTCAACCAAGATATTATAAGTTTTGCCAAAAATGGCAACTCTGCATCTATTCTCCACTCTCTTGTAGAGTTAGAAAATGTATGAATTGATGTGTCATTAATATATTTTTTCACACTTTATTTTATATGATCGGATTGGATCAAATCACACATTTCACAGACTGACTTTACAGTTACAGGAAGGAGAACCCTTTATTCCTCTTCAGGGGCAGGCAAATGTTAGGTTGCCTTAATATTCCATTTGAGCCTGCTCTCAAGCCTTTGGGGTGCTTATATGACTGGTCTAAGTTTGAAAAGGAATGTGCGTGGCAAAGATATATCAGATGCTGAAACATTTGTTGCCCCTACTAGCTGTGGTGCAATTTAATTATACTAGTGGTACAACAGCAGCATTGTATTCCAAAGGATGTCTAAGCAGTTCTGAGTAACTGGTGCAACACAAAAGAATCATAATCCACCTGTTCAAGGGGTTAAGGTTAGGGCTGTGTTAATCTGTGTTTGTGTTTTGTTTTTTTATAACTCTAGACAGACAAGACTGGTTGTGCCACTTTTACTATTAATGGGACTGATATTAATCTGCTTGTAAAAGGCTATGAGAACCTGATGGCATTATCTGCAGTACTGGAGGAGGAAGGAACAGGTACAAGGAAATGCAGTGTTTAATATTCTTCTAAGAGTTTGGGTTCATTTCTGTGTTGTATCTGAGTTTTTGACCCTTCGCACCTATATTTGTCCACGGAAATCCCTTGTGGGATTTAACAAAAGGTGAAATACCACTGTTTATTTATTTTATGGAAAATTGTGTGGCTGCCCATCTTAAAACAAATTTGGGCAGCTGAGGAATGTGGTATTGTTAATGTGCCAAATTGTCCATATCTGATCATCTCTCTAGCTCTCCAGGCTTAGCCATCTAACCCAATGGGCCTTGAGCAAGGCCTTGGCCCACAAAGGGTCCTGTCTTGGTTGTGGGGTATCATGACAAGTTCTTGCTAGACATACCACCATGGTCTTTCTCCAGGAAAGGAAATGAACTGTGGCAGAATTATCATAGGAGCCTCTCTGGGTTTTGTCCTGGGGGAACGGTATGGAACATCTCTTGCTAGATTCTCTGCTTTTCCCTTCTCCCACTGAGAAAAGTGCTAAATAATAAAACCATCCTGTAAAAGGTGGAGCCATAGTCTGTGCAGAGTACATTTCTAACTACAGGAAATAGGGATTAATCTTCTCTGCTGATCAAGTTCCATCTGTTTATGTCATCAGTCCATCAGGGTCGTGGGGGAGTGGAAACCTTATGCAAAACTACTTATCCAAGATGATTCTGCAAGTTTACTTGGACTTAGACTAACTCTGTCTTTAAGATAAAAGTGAAGTCTGCAAATTCAAACATCTCCTTCCCCGCAAAACATTCTAACTAATCCAAAAACTGGGGAGTTCTTGGGGTTCTCTGAGCTTGGTTGTTTTCTTGCAAATGTTTCATTACCCAGCTAAGTAACATCTTCAGTGCTAGAATGGAGTGGGGTTTGCTCTCTGTTTATATACAGTGGATTGCCCTGCCAGTGTTGTTGGTGGTGGGGGGTTCTCCTGGTAGTTCTTTGATTATGGTATTGTTTACTGCTTGATTGTCTGACTAGTTATAATCTTGGTGTTAGACTTGGTAATTACTATTGCTCCACCTTCTTCCAAGGGTATGAGTTTACCTGGAGTTCTCCCCTTTAACACCGGTGTGTGGGAGAGGTCAGATCTATGTCCTTTCCTGGAAATACAAAAGAAAAAATATTATAAAAATTATCAAATGATCACTACCTCCTAGGCCTGAATTGTGAGACATGTGCTGGGAAATCAGTGCCCTCTTTCCCCTTTTGGAGATAGATCAATCTTTCTGGCAACAAATATATTTGCTTCATTAAAAAAGTAAAAAAAGTATCTAAAAATTCCTTTTGTTGCTTTAAATAATCATATGTAAAACATTCAGTGACAAAAGAGATAAGAAGATATGTCTGTTCAAAACATAGAAAGCAATTTTAAAACAACCTCCAAAGGAAAAAAAGTACAGAAAAAGATAGAAGATTCTGGGTACAACATAGAATGATACTGATCTGCTATTAAAATAGAACAACTCTGTTGGGAAGAGATACCAATTTGTATAAAGTACACTAGGATTCACCAGAGATCATCAAGTAGTCTTAAACACACAATAAAATAAACCATACAATCCTAAGAAGATTTCTAGCTAAACTTCTTTAGCTGTTCCTTAGAGACACACATATTTCTTGAAGCAAAAGTTTCCTCTTTGCTATCTGAATTTCCTGGGTTCCTGTAGTGTAGCAACCTTTAACCAAAGGCTGAGGAGAAATATTACTTTAGCTCTTTCTCTAAAGAGTGTCTAAATTCTGTTTGGATTTTATTTTCTTTTTCTTTTTTTTCTTTTTTTCTCAAATATAATTTGTATTAAGAATTTTAATTACAGTAGTAAAAACTAATACAAACTAAACTTAGCGAAAAAGAAGAGAATGGAAAGAAAGAATAAAAAATGCAAGAGTAAAAAGGAAGAAGAAAAGAAAAAGAGAATATAATAAAGAAAAAGAAAAGAAATATATAAACCCCCACCCTTACCAGCACTGGCAAGGCAGGCCACACCACATAAATAGAGCGCAAACCCCATCCCATTTTAGCACTGAAGATGTTACCGAGCCAGGTAATGAAACGTTTGCAAGAAAAGAACCAAGCTCAGAGGACCCCAAGGACTCCACAGAAATATACATTTTAGCACTGAAGATGTTACCGAGCCAGGTAATGAAACGTTTGCAAGAAAAGAACCAAGCTCAGAGGACCCCAAGGACTCCACAGAAATATATAAAGAAGTGACTTCCAACCTTCATCACAAGTATAGACAAATTTAATAACTGTTCACCCCCTGTAAGGTTAATCAGAGATCTCTTCATCCCATATCCTGTCCCTTATCTATAAACAAATCCATAAAACATCAACTTTTAAATCTTTTTCAGTCACCAAAATGTCTGTAAAGGGTTGTCAGAACATTGCAACAAAATGTCTTAGTTTAACCTTGATCAAAAAAACCAACTTTATATTCCTTCCTTTTACTTCTAACAGTCTTAACCTTTAATTCAATCAAATATTGTTGTAGGATTTGATTTCTCTTCAATTCTTCTTTATCCCATCATACAGATTTCTTCAAGTCTTTAACAAGCCTCTTTTGTAAATCCAATCAGAAAACTTTTTCCAGATCATTCTCTTGGTTTACCATTTGTATTTCCCTTTTAATTTTTAAAACATCACCCAGTTTCTTTTGTATGTTTTGCTTGGATTTTAAAAGAAAAAAAACTTTTTCTTTCCAAAAGAGGAGGGTCTAGGAGGATCTCCTTTGCTCTTGTGCTCGTGCAACTGTGACTTATGAAGATGCATTTTGGAGAAGTCTATCTGAGAAAATATGTGTCTGCCAATATATGTCTTTCTGAATTCTGCTGGTTAACATGAGAAGCTGGCAAGCAGACTGGCTTTTCACAACAGAACCAGAAATCAAATTCACCTCGTAGGCAGTAGAAGTCTACTAAAAGCCTATTGATCTCATATCATGCAGGAAGCAGCAAAGAGGGCAGAATTAAGAGCTTTGTAATTAATATTGCAAATCTTTGCAACTGACTTTTGAGTAAATGTTTCAGAAGGGCTTGGGTAGGGATAGTGAAAGACTTACACAATGCATTGTGGAACCACTGTATATTTTTAGTGCTGTTTCCAGTTGATTGTAGAACACCAGTGCCTCAACATTGTTTAAGAGACCATAGTATTGAAGTAACTATGGCCAAGCATCTATTTGCTTAACATGACTAGTAATGGCTTTTTAAGAGGTCCTTCACGTCCTTTCCATCTGCAGTCCTTTACAGTAGTTGGAAATGCTAAAAACTGAATTCAGAATATTCTATATGAAAACGCTGTTCCTTCCACTGAGTTACAGACCTCCAAAAATTATTGTAGAATGTTTCAATATGTAGTGCAGACTCACAACAAATGTTATCTCGAAAGAAAATCCAAAGTAATAAATAAGATTCATAATCTGTGCCTTCCTATGCAAGAGGCACCATTAGGACTAAAATATACCAAGCTTTACTGTATCACTTGTAGTTTTGTGATTCTCTTTTATTTTGGCTATAAGTGGAGGCTATGGCATGGGCAGTCAGGAGCAAAAAAAGGAAAAAACCCTTTTTCCCCATGCTAAAATCTGTCAGAGATCACTCCTCCAAAGTTGTTATTTGGCTTGTGATTGAACTTTTCAATAGCTAAAGCCAACCTTAAAATATTATTGGTGCAAATGCAGTGGCAGTGAATAATAGCTTAATAAAATAATTGAGGAGGAGGTGAGTGGGAACTTGGCAAGGAGAGATAGTGTTGCTTCCAGACCGAGAGCTCCTGGTGCTTATCATTTAGAAGAACCTCTGCAGCTATTCTCTCTTATTTACTGTGGCATATTTTGGTGGAAATGAAAAAGAAAACAGAAGTAGTAGTAGGAAGACAGGAAAGATCAGAATTTCACCTAGGCTGTCATAAGTAAGGCAGGATGATTGTACATTAAACTCCCCCTTTAGAAGCCCCTCTACTTCATCCTCATACAGGCTTCAACACACATGCATGTTCTCCTTATGGTCCTCCTATTACTTTTTCACGTTTAGTTTTGTCCTCCTGCTTAGCAAGAGGATGCCTTGCTTTCATATCTTTTTCTGGGCTTCTGAAAGAAGGAAGGAATGTAACTATCCCATCAAGTTTTTCTGGCATCCTTTGTATCATCTCTCCGTGTAGGACTGAAGGCGACAAAAAAGGACAACATTCCTATTGCTACCAGTGAAGTGGATGTGGCATTTGGGGAACTCAATCCTTTCTATAAGCAAGGTTTCCCTTACTCTGGAAAGGTAACATCCCAACTGAATCCACTTTTCCAGTTTAATAAGGAGTTATTAGCATTGCAACTTGGAATGTAAGAGGAGTAAAGGGTAAATAGTATGAATTAGCGGATGAAATAAATGAAATATATTTCTGTGAAACTAACAGCTCTTCTGAACAACAGCACTGAAGTGTTCCTATTGTGCATGGCAGCTGGCAGAAAACTATGCTGGCTTTAAAAGTGCTGTCCTCATCTCCAGCTTCTACTGCCTTGGCAACAAAGCAGACAGGGCTTCTGTCTGCATCAGTAGCAAAGAGGAGGTGACAACAGGTAGAAGGGGGAACCCTTTCTTTGATGCCATTTAGAAGATCCCACAGCTCTTCTGCTGTCAGTTCTCTGATCTCATGGAGTGATTGCTCTGTGGGGCTGAGGAAAGGGCAGGAAAGGAGCTGTTCTTTACTGCTTCTCTGCGGTTTCTTTTCTTGCCACCAATGGGTGTCAAGAGAAGAGGAGGAGAAGGAGGAGGATTGAGTCTTTTCAGTACAAGGTCTCCCACCATCAAAAAAGTCTCTCTTCCCCATGAAGTAGTGGCTGACGTGGGGTGGAACTGCCCCCCCCAGTGGTGAAACAGCCAATTAGCTGAATACCTAGTTTGTTTGAAAACTGTACATAAAAAATGCTAATCCATGATTCCTCATCAAACTGGGTTGTTGGATGAGGTGCCACAAGGTTTCATCCTGGGATTTGTACTTTTCAGGATTTTAGATCATGACTTAAATGAAGAGGTGGAGGGAATGCTTACCAAATTGGCCAGTGACATCACATTGGGTAATATAACTGAGACCACCCCACCACCACATCACCCCAAACCTAAATTGATAGGTTCGAGCAATGGGCTAAAAATAACCAGAATGAAATTTAACAGGGACAAAGGTAAAGTTCTTCACTGAGGAAACAGAAATCAAATACACACGCAAAGGATTAGAAAAAGTGGCTTGATATTAATGAAAAAACTCTTGGAACTGACAGACTTGATACTAATGATCAAGAGTAGTTATACTCTTGCGAGTAATTGATCACAAACTGAATATGAGTTAACAGTGTGATGTGGTTGCAAAAAAGGACAAGTGGAATTTTAAACAAGTTCAGTGGAACTATAGTTTGTAAATAATAGAAAAAGTAATAGTTCCATTTTATTCTTTGGTTAGTCTTTACCTCAAGTATTGTGTCCATTTCTGGACACTGTACTTTTAGAAATATTCAGACAAAGTGGAAGAGATTCAAATAACAACAATGAGAGAATTATAAACTAAGCCCCATGAGGGAGCTGAGCATGTTTAAACTTGAGAAGACTGAGGGAAGATATTTCAGGTACCTGAAAGGATGTTACACGGTAACATTTCAAGACCTGTTCTTTGTTCCAAGACAAGAAAAATGGATTCAAACTATAAGAAGCCAGGTTCTGACTGAATGTTAGAAATATCAAGAGCAGTTTAGTGTGAAAGCAGTTTACCTTGGACGTGTTTTGTTAGAAGCTAGACAACTATCTGTCAGGGATGCTTGAAGGCAGCTTCCTGCACTGAGCAGGGTTTAGCCTTGATAGCCTAAAGCCCCTTTCCAAGCTTGTAAATGTGTTCCAGCCTGAAAAACGGGGGAATATGTATTGTCCTGGTTCAGATGGCTCTTTCTTAAGAGTGCGTAGAAATGAATTATCACTGCACATTTATTGTATGAAGGAAGCATTGCACACACTACTAAGTCACTGTATACTTATTCCTGCAGATTAGAGTTTCAGTCAATGATTCACCAGTCAGAAATTACACTGTCCATCTCATTGTTGATGTGGATGATGCGCTGACCCACATTCAGTATATCACAGATGGGGATGGTACTGCCTACTTCTCTCTAGATACAACTGCCTGGAATGACACCATGGTTTCTATAAAGGTGAGCTGACACAAATCAAAATAAAATTTGCAAGGAATCACAATGTCCAGTGGCATATTAATAATGTAGTTTAGCTACACCACTAGCATGAAAAAGTTCATATTCTCAATATCAAATACAACAACAAATGGCTGAAAAGAAGTATATTGTGAAGTTGCAGTGGTTAGATTGTAACAAAATCATTTGTGAGACTTGCAACAGCTGCAACAAAATATAATGTGGAGCATTCAGTTGGACAAAGGTTTTCCCAAGAGATGTGCTAATCCTTGTGAGGACATGAGTGCCATTTTGACAACATTAGGCTTTCTTGCTCTTTCACTTTTTTAGGAACAAAAATGGTAAGAACCAAGGTATTAGATCTTTTACATATCTGAATATTGTCATAGCTGGGCTTCTCAGTACAGGTAGACCTCACTTAGTGACTCCCTCAGGCAGTGACTGTTCAAAATTACGACAGTATTGAAAAAAGTAACTTTGTGACCAATGCCCACATTTACGACCTTCACAGCTTCTCTTTCTCAGTCATGTGTTTGCCATTACAGTCGGTTAGTATGTGTTGTCCGATGCCTGATCTGTTTTTTCTTTTCCCCCTTTGCAGAGCAGAGAGAGCAAACAAACAAGCAATCTGTTCCTGAGCTGCTTTTCTCTGCAGTGCAGTGCAGTGCTAATCCCAGGTTAACGAGCTCAGCTCTCCAAACTTAATTAGCTGGCTGGCAGCTGCTGCCTGTAACTGACAAGACTAATCAGTACAAGACTAATCGGTTTCACACCTTTGGCTTTTGTTTGCCTTCGCAGCAGTTTGGAGTGGGAGCATGCTAGGCAAACAGCCAGTGCCAGTGCATTCCTTTGTATGTATATTCCCCATTATGTGCCTGCTTACTCTCTTATAATCCCTTCCTCTCCAAAGAATGTAGATACAAACATTAATTCCCTTCCTGCTAATTGTCCCAGTGCCAGGGTGAGCATTCCAAAGGGCAGGGAGTGGGGAAAGGGAAAGCTGAAGTAAGATCGTAAGCACAGTCATGGTCATGTGATTTTCTATTTAGCAACCATGTCACTTATCAACTGAGTTACCAGTCCCAATTGTGGCTGCTAAACAAGGACCACCTGTAATATAAGAATGTTAAATTGGTTTGAAAACTGGTTTAACTTTACAGTGTCAGCCTGTCTTGGCATATTGACCATCCAGTTTTCTCCTGCTAAACAGTTGCAAATATCACTCCAAGTTGTGCTTGAATGCTGATAATTCCCATTGTTGTTGTGCCTTTTCCTTATAGGCAACAAACACATTTGGGAGTAAAACTGAAGAACAGGTTGCTCAGATGTCAAACTCTGAAGATTATAAGTGGCTGAAGCCCTTCTACTCAGAGAGTAACAGTTTCCTTGAGATTCAGCATGTGGAGGGAGAATTGCCCTGTGGAAAGCATCAGGAAGTGCTGGTGGATTATATCCTTGACCGGAAAGAGCTGGACCCCGAGGCCGACCACGTAGATTTCTATTACTTGGTGAGCATCTAACAGTTCTGGAAAGGGCAACATGGTGTGTGTAAGAGAAGAATGGAAAAGAACAAAAATAAAAAGGGAGAAATAAAGTATTAACACAGGCAACATAGTACCCAATTCCTGAAAAGAAGAAAGAAAAGAAAAATTCTAAACTAAGTAGGATGAGAAGAGTAAGACAGAAGAACAAAACTGAAAACAGTGTTTCCAGAGATACTGGCATTTCTATATCTTATGTTGGTGGTTGTGAAGCAGTAATTGAGGCAAATCAAACTCTTTACACGGAGAGCTTCTTTGCGTAGACTTTCAGAGGAAAATGAGAGGGGAGAATACAGCACCTGCAGTTCTGCCAACCATGATAGTTGCCTCCACTTACACTTTCAGAGGCAAAACCTGTAGCTTCAGTTGTGTGATGTGTTATTTAAAAAATGCAGGGCTATTCCTTTCCTTTTCTGTTACAGGTCTTCTGTAGCAAAAGCTATGATGCTGTTCCTTCTGTCCAACATCCCCCCTTATCATCTTCTTCCTGTGTGTAGTTTTATGCAATGTTTTTGTATAGCTCATAACTTACTGCCTCTGTTATTACCAGGTTGTATCAAGGGGAAAGATTGTCTCCAGTGGACAGAAGCAAGTGCCCATTGGCCAGGATGAGAGTAAGTAGTAGAAGAATTATGTTGTTATATGTCCTCTTCTATCATACAAAGTCCTGTTCTGTCTAGTTTGTGTTTTATTTATTTTGCTTTTATTTTATTTCAGACAGAGCTAACCCTAGACAGCATCTCAGATGCAATATATAATAACCATATGAAACAAATGAACATATACCAATTTTGATGTTGGAGTATAGGGAATGCTGTGAATTTTTAAATGTTTGTCATCTTCACAAGCTGTTCCCCCGTCATGGGAAAAGGGACCCTCCCAAAACTATTGAGGTGCTAATTTGAAGAGAGGGCAGTGCTAGATGAAATACCACAGGTTTCTGAGTAAGACAACACATTTTCAGAAATGTTGAAGTCACAAGAAAAAAATATTTTTCTTTGTTGATTCAGGCAGGATATGCGTGTCTGGAAAAACATACAGAAACATATAGACATGCTCACATTCTTATTCAGCTTCTGATATTGCCACATAGAAGGAAACTTCTGATCAAAATGCATTGTAGAATGATTCAGCTTTTTCCTCAAAGATTTTTTTACTAGAAAGAAAATTGTGGAAGAATTGGTGAGAAAAGAGTAATATAGGAAATATTATGATACTGTAATATGCCATGCATCTTTAATATTAATATAACATTACTATTATCATAATATCACATCCATATTAAAGATGCAGAGCATATTTAGATCTAGCACTAAACTTTATAACAGCTGTAATCTGTTCTGTAATGTAATTATCATACACATATTTTAATATCATTTTTAGAAATCAAATGTATTCCTGAAAATATCCAAACTAAGACAGTTCATCAGAATAATGATGATCCCCCAGAGTATTTGCTTGTGAAACTGCTGCAGCCTGGGCTCAGTAGTGGTTTGAGAGATGAATTGCCATAATAGATTGGTAGGTTTGATCGAATGGACTTCAGTAGATTTGTTTTGAAGTAGATTCAGATGCATTTTGAAATGCTTCAGAACTGGCAAGAAATTGGTAACACTGACAAAGGAGAGGGTGAGTAGTTTTGTTAACTTTTCTTTCCTCTAATATCACATAATTATGGGTGTTGTAGTGCAGACATAAGTTTTCTTTCTCTCGCTCTTTCTCTTCCCACCACCCTTTCTTTGCCCTGACCCAGCACTCAAAGGCACCTTCTCCCTCACCCTCACCACCAGTTCTGACCTGGCACCCATTGCCAGGCTTCTGCTGTTTGCAGTCTTCGCTGACGGCGAGGTGGCAGCTGACGTTGATGTGTTCAAAATAAACATGTGCTTCAAGCATAAGGTTTGTAAGAAACAAGAGGGACAGAGCAAAGAAGCTGCAATCACGCATCACCCAAAGCCACAGGGCGTTAAAGCAGGCGTGCTGCCATTTGTCCCCAACGTGGCTTCCTCATTGTGCATAAAGTGAAGTGGGAGAGAAAATGGAAGGGGATACACGTGCTTGTTAACCAAGCCTTTTATCTTAGCATACAGTACGGTAATCCTAGGTGGCTCAGAACAAAACCAATAAAAACAACAACAAAACAATCGTGTCACCCATATACGAAGCAACACAGTTCCTTCCCATTGTGCTCCAACTGATCATTGCAATCAATATTTTGTAAGCGTTTAAAATTGTTTCCGGGGGGGGGGCAGATTTAATATTGCAATGAAAGAAAAATTAAAGAAAAAAGAAAGAAAAGTATTATACAATAAGCATTTAGATAGCCTCCTCTCTTTCATTTTTTTCCCCATTCTTCCCTTCTTCTCTCAATGTATTCTGAACTTACTGAAACTTTATTATTAACTTAAACATTGAAATTGTTATGAAGTTAACATTCATGGACCTTGTGTGGCCCAGAACTCAACAGGTGTAAATTAAACCTTTTGGGGAGGGAGGAGGAAAATTAATGAAACCATTTTTGGAGGGAGGCACTTCTTTGTGTGGAGGAGGCTTTGGGGCAGACTCCCTCGCCTTACCTGCAGCAGGGAGGATCACAGGGCGCCACTGCTGCAGGTAACGCAGTCCTGCTCGATTTCCACCATGGCAGCATCAAGCGACTCTCGCTGCTGCAGTTAAGCCGAGGCAGCAAGCTTGTGCAGGACTCTTTGTGAGTTGCGAGACCTGAGTTTTATGGTCACAAAATTTATTATTGTTATTATTTGAAATTAATCTTGTGTGCACTTGATTTTTTACCATGTGCGCAGGTTCATAAGTACTGTGCACGCACAGACATGCACATCTTAGAGAGAACATAGGCAGGGGTCCCCAATCTTTGGGTTATTATGGGACACCAATCCCAAAATTTCTACTTACCAAAAATCAAATTGGTGAGATTGCTTCCTTCCATCAAGACACTTCTACCTTCCTGATTTACTGTTGCCTTTTTTTCCTCTGTAGATTCAGTCACTTTGAATAAAACACTTGGTTTCATTCGCCCATTATTTTTATTTTCTAAAATATGGGACCTTTGTGGAACATACAGATTATAGTAGAACCTAGTTTTTTGCTTGGCAGCATTCCAGCTTCCCATTTAAAATTCAGTGGGTTTTAAATAAAGTTGGAGTGTACAGGAAATCTGCAAGGCATCAAATGGAGTATCTATAAGCTTGTTCATAGACACAGACTCTGTTCTGGGAACCATAGGCAATGTGTGAACTCAATTATTGTGTCCAATCTATGGACACACTTCCCCTTTTATGAGAAATGATTTCTCCTGCCCATGCTTTTTCATGTTTTTATAGTATACTTTCTACCCTCCACTGTCAACATGGGTCTCCCATGTGGTAAAAATCTCTCTCTCTTCTGCCTCCATCACAGGTGAAGTTGGGGTTCTCATCAGAGGAGGAACTTCCAGGGTCGAAGGTCAATCTGCAGATAGAAGCTGCCCCCGGTGCACTGTGCTCTGTCCAGGCTGTGGATAAGCGTGTCCTCTTACAGAAGAACCAAACTCTGACACCACTTACAGTAAGGAAACATACCCTCCTAAACCAAACCCAAGAATAACTAGCATTTTTCCTCCCCATTCTCTATTACCTGCAGATAAATAATTTCATTATCTTTTATGGCTGATGCCTGATGGATTCCATAATTCAGTTTTTGTCTTCTTCCCAGTCACCAGCAGAATCCATAAATCCTTTTAACCTCCTCAGCCAGTACAGCACTTCCATAATCCCTCTGCTCCACTAAAAACTAGCAATATCACTGCCAAATAATCTGATTCATATGCTTTATACTGCATGAATGCTTCAACTTGTTTTTCAAGGTGTCATGAGATTATGATTTTATTAGACTACATAGATTTATAATTAATTATAGACAAATACACTCTGGAGTTTTTCATAAATATACTGCTCATAAATATACTGATTTTAAAGAGATGACTTTGGTCTAAGTCATTTAGCGCCACCATGGATTTGCTTTGTGTTTTCCTTCCTTGATCGCCTGGATTGTTTATACTTGTTGGCAACAGTTTTGCAGGACAGCATAAAGAAATTGTGCCTTTACACTAACTCTGTATGATTCTACTTTATTACTATTGAATACAGTTGTGTTGTTATTCATTGCAGCCATTTTTGTCCCTAGGTATATGGTGCTGCTTCTTTAACTTACTGGCTTGATATAGCAGTAGAAGGATTTCACTATCGCATGGAAGATTTTGAACCCTATCCTTGCTTGCCCCCTTTGGATCCTAGGCAAGGGAATTTCAAGGTGGCTCCTTGGTATCAGAGAGAAGCTGATGTTTATAGTCTGTTCAAGGTGAGTGGCATCTTCTCTTGAACCCGATGAACCAGAAAACTGTTTTGTTCATTTCCATGAGCTACTAGCATAGGCACATGCTCCAAACTCCAATGGTAAAAAAAATGATGTGATGTCATGATGCAAACTCCAACACGTCCCAACATCAGGTGCAAGTATGAAAGTCATGGGGCTTGCATTGTAAAATTAAACTATACTGTTTAATTCCCCTTTTCACCACTCATTTCACCGCTCATCCCCGTCCCCTTTCACGTGCCTATGGCTACTAGAGAAGTTTTAGAATTCATTAATAATGACCCATGTGCTTCAATTTTTTTGTTACCTTTATGAATAAAGTAAAATAGTTTTGGTTGTCCACTTTTTCATTTATAGGTATCTTCAAGGTGGCTTACCAACAGTGATTAAAATTATTATTCTGTGTGTTTATACTATGATCTGGTAATATTTTAAATAAGTCACATTTGATTTTGTTTTTTGTTTTATTTTGTTTTTCTGTTTTTTTTTCCTTTGAGTTCATTAAAGGAAAAGAAGAAAGAGAAAAGGGGGCTTAAGAACAATATGAAACTGATTTCATTAGAGTTTAATTGCAGCCTAAAAGTTATAGCCCTAATTTTACCTATCCTTTACCCTGGGCTTTATTAAGGAAAAGGTGTCAACTCAAGCTCAGCTCCTGGGGCTGTATCCATGCTTTTTTCTTGGTCATGCTATGGAAGTGTTTGCTGTTGCTTTTTCCTTTTTGACTTCCCCATCTAGCTAACCATCTGGAATTTCAAGGGGATCTCCCATCTAAGTTCTAACCAAGGCTGACCTTACTTAACCTCTGAGGTTAGCTGTATTAAGTAGACATAATATATCAACAGCCTGCCTGTTTTCAAGACTGAATATCCCACACATAATGATCTGTGTACTTCTTTATATCATTTACATACCTTTAACTTTGTGAAAATACTTAGGACACTATTTAATATTTGAAGTCTGTGTACCCTATATGTGGTAGTTTATGAATATAAAGCACTCTGTGACTCACCAGCTTCCTTTTCAAAGCACTTCAGATTAATGTACATGGTCCTTGCCTGTTGAGACCTCAGAGGTGGTCCAGCCTCTCTGGAACCTCAGAACCATGGCAGAATGCACTGAGTTATATAGATCTATAAAAATGTCCTGCACTTTGCATTCCTCTTCTTGGGTCTGACTGCTGTTATAGTAGGATTACAGAGGCTTTGATCTTGCTTCCTTGGACACTCACCTGAAGAGCAATTTTAAACTTAAAGAGGGGGTGGGGGGCTTGTGCAAGCCTTTGGCATACCTGCCCCACATTTTACTATGGTGATAGGTGATCCCCAACCATGCCTTCTCCTCCTACCCTGTTCTTAACAGTTCACTATCGGCAGATGGATAGGGTCTCAGTCGTGGACCTATGTGGACCCTAGATTGGCAGTTGGAAAACAGTCTGCTCACCTCTGGTGTGAAATCTAAATCTAAATCCATATCTCCCATGAACTACCAATGGAAATCAGTAAAAGGCTGTAACTTCTTTGTGACTAACGGTATTAAATGAAATATTTAGGAATGGTTATGCTTTATGAGGGAGGTGAGTTAGGCTAAATATCAGATAAGTTGGTATGTACATATACAGATTGATAGGTAGGCAGGCAGGCTGACAGTCAAGTGTCATTAAATTTTGGTGTTTTCAAGGAAAAGTCAAATACCATTTTTAATTTCTCTGCAGAGTTAGACATAGGCGGACAACAAAGTTTGGGGATCAAGGCTGTAAAGTTTCAGCCAAGTTTACTTTTAGTGAGAACTTTTATAGATTTAGGCTATTTTGTCAGATCTATGTGAACAAATCCAATTTGATTCATGGCTTGACTGAAATAGATGTGCATCCTTGTGACATCTCAGAACATCCCCAACCCTCACAGAGCAGGGGCAGGGTTAGAGAGCAAGGGTGGGAAGAGCACCATGGACCCAGCACAAGGGCTTCACTGCAGTGCAGTGGTAAGGAGGCAGCGTTGGCCCTGCTGCCTGATTGTGCTTCCTAGATAGTATGATTATGATTATTTCCACTCCTCACTTTTCTGCTCTGCTGATTTCCCATAGCAATTGAGATTGAAAATTTTAACAAACACAAAAGTGAAAAAACCTGTTTCCTGTGACCTTCCACATCGAGACAGAATATTTTTCAGAAGTGATAAGGCAAGAGGTAAGAATCATGGCTGCTTAACTGTTCTGTTGATGGAAAGTTTTGAAAGGGTCTCTCCTTTTCTTTTCTAGTTTCATTTTGCAGGCCTTTATGAATCTTAACTGTTTTTATTCCTAGTGATATCAGTGTACCTCAGAATGATCTAGTCCTCAGCCAAATGAAACTTGCTGTTCACATCACCTCCTACCACTTGAGACAGATTGCTAGATGTTCTGCCTTAGCTCTCAAGAAGGCTGTAGTTGGTCCCATCATGTATTTTGGAAGCCTAGCCTTAGTTGTCACAGATCCATTTTTACTTAACATATTTCTAACTTTGTGTACATCAGTTGTTTCAGGTACTTTAGTTGCTGAAGATACTGAGGAAATATCTCATGATATCACTGCCACAAAACCTAAGCAGGATACAAAAACCAAACCCAGGACACGCTTTCCAGAAAACTGGATTTGGGATTTAGTACCTGTCAAGTAAGTGAATTCCAAGCTTTGTTCAGGAGGAAAAGAAATATTCTCATATAAGTAGTCCTTGTTTAATGTCCACTCATTCAGCGACCGTTCGAAGTTATGATGACACTGAATGAGGGGCACATACAATGGGTCCTCATAGTTGCGGCCATCACAGTGTCCCTGCAATCATGTGATTGCGATTTGAGCACTCAGCAACCAGCTTACAATTACAGTGTTGCATTGTCCCATGGTCACATGATTGCCATTTGCAACCTTCACCGCCGGCTTCTGACAAGCAAAGTCAATGGAAAAGCCAGCAGGAGGTTGCAAATGGAGATCATATGACCGTGGGATGCTGCGACCATGCAGGATTCGCCTAACGATGGCAACAGGGCCTGCTAGAACTGTCATTGTAAACTGGCGTGGTCACCTGCCATTGCGCCTTAGGACTGTGTGGCTTAGCGATGGAGTTTCTGGTCCCAATTACTGTTGGTAAGTGAGGACTACCTGTAATTGTAGTGATCTCATCTGCCTTGTATTTCAGTGGCAGGGGTATTAATTACTGTCAGCGTATTGCAGTTTAAGAAGCAAGGCAAAATTATTTTCCATATGTCACAGTTTTGTTCCTGACAACGTAAAACATGCTACAGATTGTAAATAAATGAACTTTAGAAATGATTATATATCCCTCTGTGTTTTTTGCTGGAAACAAAAGAGAGAATAATTAGAAGGGGGCAGAAATCTGCATATAGTGAAAAATGTTCTCAGATATAGTTGATATAGGAAGGAATATGTTCTTACCTTCTCTTCTTCCTTTTTATCCTTCACTCATTTCACTAAGATATTTCATATGGCTACCTCTATAAAATCTTTCAGTTGCTGGTCAGTTGAGAGGATTTATAATTTCCAGCTTTGTAGAACTCATCAATTACAGCCGCATGTATTTTCTAAACATGTATTACATTCTAAACGTGCATCCCGCCCTTTGGAGCATCCTGCCCCCGGAGGTGCGATTGGCCCCCTCACTCCTGGCCTTCCGGAGGGCTTTGAAGACCTGGCTCTGCCACTGGGCCTGGGGCGGGGAGGGAAGGCCTCAAGCGTGGGGGTGGCTAGCCCCGTAGAGGCCTGCTGTCTTCAGCCCCAGAACCATCATCCTCTTGGACTTTCTTCTTCTTTTTTGGTAATGTTTTGTATACTTTTTTATGTTTTATGTATTTATATATATTTATGGTTTTAATGTTTTGTGTGAATCACCCAGAGTCCCCCATTGGGGGGAGATGGGGGGAGAGAAATTTAATAAATAAATAAAACATAACAATTTCTTTTATTGCCCCTTCCTTTTTTCAGTTCTTGTTGTTAGGTTATTCTGTAGTTGACAATGTTTTTGTACAATAGAGAATGTTAAGGACCCAGTAGAATTACAAAGTACAGTATACTATCCAGTAAAGAAAAAAGCTTTACCAAATCAGACATCAGCCCTTGAAATAATCTCTGTGTTCTGACAACATAATTTAAAAGACTAAACGTTCTAATTATACAAAACAATGTATGACACCCTTGTTCCCTTATTTTTTACTCCAAGGGCAAACAAATAGGCAGATGCTACTACTTAGCTTGCAGAAAGATAGACAAAAGGAATTTTTTAAAAATAGAAAATATAATAAATCCCAGTAGCTCTAACTTAGCAGAAAAGAAAACTCTTGCCCTCAGGCACCAAACCTTTCGCAAAGAGGACAGAGTTAACTCTCTCATCGACACTCTTCAGTTAAGCAACGATCATCAGCCTAGCCAAACAAGTACTATTGCATTTCCATTGCTGCATTTTTATTTTTATTTTTTAGTATTTCCCAACACTGAATCTGTTCAATAACATAAGAACAGCAAAACAAAAGAACCATCATCCCTCCCACTGCTGTTATTTGGCCAGGCTGTGCACATAGCCAACAATTAAACTAATGGAAGTCGTCTTTTAGTTTTTTAAATGCACCCTGAAGCGCAGCATCAGCAAAGGCACGTATAGACTGTATACATAAAAATTCAGAAAATCAACCAAATCAACGCAAAATTTTGTTTGCATGTTTAAATAAACTTGGAAAGTTTCATATGACCAGATACTAGCACATACATACTTTTTCTTGTCTCTGACCACTCCCCTTAATACGCAGCTTTAAGACCAAGACTAAAACTTCAATCCCCAAAGAAGCACACCAACTCAGATGGGATTGGAGATGCGTGTGTGTCTTTAGAAGGCGACAGCTAATAGATACGTACTTTTTAGAGAGGTTCCTTGCAGCAGTCCTGGTCCTCCTTTTCTGATCTTTCATCGATAGCAGTTAAATGCAGATTGGATCTTTTCCCCTGAGCCTTGTGCTCTTAAATAACTACTGTCTTGCTCCAGCACTACATTTCCCCACCCAGTGTAAACCCACCATGCCACGGCTGATTCCTGCTTGTAAACTGGCCCAGGAAATACTTTTTTTAAACAGTCCAGGAAAGATAAGAGACAACACTCTGATCAAATCACCTGGAGCAGTACGGAACACATGCCTGCCATAGATAATGTGGGTAGAGGATTTTTCTTTCTCTCTCACAATATACAAACTTAAGGTCATCCAGTGAAACTAAACGCAAGGAGATTCAGGACTGACAGAAGAAAATACTTCTTTATATAGTAAATGGGGCTCGCCCTTAATTCCGCCTAACTGGCACAAACAAATCCCAGTAACCTTTTTTAAGCCACATCTTTGTGATATTGTTTTTGTCTCATGCCCAGCCCATAGCTGAGGTAGTTTAAAGCCGTCTTTAATTCTACCAGTTTTAATGTAATGTTTTCCCTCTTCCCTTGGCAGTTTTTGTCCTAGCGCATTTCATCAACAATATGATTGCTGGCCTGGTTAGTGATGGGATCTACCCAGCTTCTTCTGGCCATTTTAGGCTGTTCTGGCCATTCCCCTTTGGCCCCCATCATTGATTACTGCACCCCATGGCCATTTTGGCTTAGGCTGCAGAAGAGATTGGAGCCTGGCTTCTCCAGAAGCATCTACTCATGCCGTGCCTGATAGGTGCTTTCTCAAGTGCTCCTGAAGTCTTACATGGGTCCTTAGAAACACAACCGTAGGGTTATACCTTGTGTTCAGTATTCAAGAAACAGTGCTAGGGTGTGTTCAAAAAACAGAACTAGCACTCTTTTGCAAGTGTGTTAGTTCTATGTTGAACAGAACATTGATTTAAACCAGGAGAGAGAGAGAGTCTGTTTCTGCCAGCTGTGTTGCTGGTTGCACCGTTGTGTGCAGTACAGGTTTCTGCTGCTTCTGCCAACAATGTGTTTCACATGACCATTCTTTTATTGTTTTTATTACTTTGTGGATAAGTGGCAGGTGGTGTCAATTTGTCTGTTCCATTCTGGCTGCTTGTCTACTCCCAGCCACAACCACTCACTGCCAGCATTTTCATTTCCTTATAACATCAGTCAAGGATGGCACTTGCTCATTACTGATTGCTTCCTCCTATTTCACTCTGCCCCCCTCCTTCATGCATGTGATCTGTCAGACAGATTGTTTTTGAATGTGGGTTTAGCTCTCTTTAGAAGAGCACTAAACCTGTGTTCAGAAATAGCTTGACTCTGTGCCTACAACTTATTAACTGGGCAACTTGGCTATAAAAGGCTACGCATGTCCAACACTTCTCCACGCTAGGTTAGGAAGAGTGATTGGTGGCTATTCTCTCACTGGCAGGTGGTGCTTAGTGGGAGGGAAAAAGCCAGGGGAATCTACCAATCAATTTCTTTAACTTCTTCTACATTACAACTAGGACAGTACAAGCCACTGGCCTCATTACTGTGTCAGAATAAGTCTCAGCAATTAAGATGGCACATTTCTGTTGGCTTAAGAACTCATGGATAACACTTTAACATGGGTGTTTGGCCAGAGTTATGACAGATAATGCTCTCTAAAAGCCAAACTAGGCAGAATATTCATTATACATGTTATTTGTGGCAATAATAATGTATAACAACCCTTCTGGAAGTGGGGAAGAGATCTACATTTAGACTGCTGGCAAAGAATCAGAAATTCACCTTCCTCTTCATTCTGGACTTGCCTTGAATCTGTCCCTCTCCAGCTGCAGTTTGCACTAGTAGGGAGTACACTGCTACAGAGAGCTTTAATCCGGATTCAAAGAGCAAATGTCAGGGGAATCCCCTTCCCCAATGCACACTCCTGATCCATTTGGGACTGCTATTAGTTAAAAATAAAACTTTAAGCTACTGTGAGTTGAAAGAAAACATTCACTTAATTAAAAACAGTCACACAAATATAAAGGCTTAACATACTGATTATTTACAAAAGAAATTTCCAGTCAAGCCATTCTGGCTGAAACTGCAGTAGAATAAGTCATTTGGTGCAAATCATGCTCTTTGCATGTCCCTCTGACTAACTGGTCTTATATACTGATTCAATTGGCCAACAGCTGGTTTTGCCAGCACAACCTTTGCTTTGCTTTGATCTGGTCACT